TGATAAAACACGTACAGAAGTTCTTGGCGCATTTTCCATTATTTGTTGGACATTTTCTTTTAATTCTTCAGTCCGCTTTTTAGGTCGGCCGCTTCCTTCTTTTCTTGTTACACTGCCCGTTTCACGAAAAACATTAACACAACGCTGAACTGCACTTTGAAAAATTTTGTACTCAACAACGCCGGGAAATTGATTTTGAAATTCTATGAAACATTCCTCAATAGAATACTTCCATATTCCATCAATCTTGCGTCCATTTCTAAAGTAGGACTCTATGATAAACACTTTTTGTTCTTGAGAAAACACCATTTTAAACGCTTTTTAAAACGAAAATATTCAAATTGATAGCGGCGATATAGCGCTTTGACAGATGACGTTTAAGTTCATTTGCTATACGCTACGCCCTACGTCCAAATTTTCAGAACCAACTTTACCACGTTTTTGTTTGAACGCTCGTTATCTACCCATACTTACATCTCACTTAAACCGATTATTTTAGTTTATTTTAAGTAATTGTGTATAGAAAATATATTATTTGAGCTTTTATGGTATCGAAGCTAGGGTTTTCTTTACAAATTAACAATGGAGTTTTAGTAGTTTTCGACAAGGGTGCCGATCCTATTTTATTAGTTATTATAATCTCTACTATTTTTATTTATTTATTTATTTATTTATTTATTTAGTTTACACTATCCAACAGTACTGAAACCATTTATAGAACGGGAAAAAACAAACATAATTACATGAACATTCAAAAACAAATGTACCAAGAAACAAGATACAATATAAGACAAAAAAAAACATATACATATACATACAGGGTGTGGCGTGTATAATCTATAAAAATTAAACTACAACCTCCTAACGATATTTGTAATAGAAAAGTCTTATAAGTTCAATTATGGATCAAAATATTTTTCCTGGAATATAAATTTTCAGTTGTCTATTTTCAGAGGGCAGAGCCTGCCCTCGTTAAGGAAACAATATAATCTTTATAAATACTCACATATTTGGAATTAATAAAAAAATGAAACATTGCAGTTATTAAAAAAATTCAAAATATAGCAAGTACTTTTTTAAAGACATTTCCTTGGTATAGTTTTACGATTTAACTTTAGCTTGGACTATGTCAATGTTATTTATATAACTAAATGGAGAAGGATGTTCTAGCACAACTTAACAATTTTAGCAATAACTTGAAAACGAAAAAAGATATCGACCTTCGGTTTGTGAATTTGTTTTCCTTAATAAATGGTCTATCAAGCCATGAACAGAAACCTATATCGTCGCATTTAATTTTTTTAGCAATTGGAGATAATTACAAAACCTTTCTAATTAGTGTCGTCTAAGGTTGCGCAGGAAAATTATATTTTTATTTAAAGCGTAGCGTATACCCTGTATATCTAGAAAACAGTGAGTGCTATCGACATTTATAGCAACAACTAATTTGTGTTAAAGGTTCTACAATAACATTAAGCTAATTTGAAATATCTTGGCAGAAAACAAATGCGAGCTATAATTACCAAGTCGACTCTGATTTGAATAAAATTGTTTGCAATTCATAAAAAAAGAAAAATATATCACAAAATAACAGATGTTTGGGGACATATGTTTGTAGGAATTTTTCCATTAATTTATGACGTCGATTTATGACCTTCCATAATATTCATCATCATTGTCTAAGAAACGTTTAGTAAACGTAACAAAAAACAATACGAACAAGAAAGTTTTTAACATTTACTGAAAAAAAAATTATCAACATTAACAATTTTAATGTAAACGAGTACTATTTATTAATTTAGCTAATTTTAATTAACTTATAGCGCTTTTTGAATTTTCTTCCACGTAAATTCTTAATTCCCGTCAATACTTCATTTTCTTACAAATTACAAGGAAATCCTAGCTGCTAATTGGACGAAATTAAGACGTCAAAGTAAGTCAGAATGAGGAATTTGTACAGAGCGAAATTGTAAGGTTCTTAATTACTCAAATCCTTGCGAAACCCCAACAACGTTGAACATTTCCAATTAATTCCTTAGTGAAAGTGGGTGCTGACACTTGCAAAACTATTCCAGACTTTATGGGGTCATTAAGAGTTTTCATTGAAAATTACTAGGGCTTTAGTTGGCTATTAATTACTTAACAAGGAACGATTCATTAGCAGAATTATGCCTTTAGCGGTTGTAATTGAGGTAGTATCGTAGTACACAATGCTACGAAAATGGTAAATAACAAGGGGCAGGATTTCTCTTACGATTGCGTTGTGTTCAGGTATAAACGATTGTATTTGTTAAACTACGGTAATGATCTAAGTTTTGACTTTAACTTGCACGAGAAAAGCTAGAGAAATGGAAACAATACAATAGTACAATATAAAACTGAGGGTGAGATATGTATTTCTCTATAATTGCACATTTGTTAAAGGGCTAGCTCATTTCGTGACGAAAATGGAAAATGTTAGATGAAGCCACATTTTCTCTGGTAGGAACTTTAACTTAATGTTTAATTGACGTATTCTAGTATTACTTCATGTATTTTTTTTTGTTGTAATGGTACTGAGCTAATTCAAGCAAATCCAATCATTCTGTCTAATATGAAGTCAAACAATGTTTTTCGATATCTGAAATCTGGGTGTGCAGAAGATATTTAACCCCACAGACAAGATTTAAAAGTCTATTTTCGTGGGATAATATACTTTCTTCTATAATTTCCAACCTTTGATAAGTTTGACAAAAATACATGCCGTAACATCAGAGTGTGTATGTGCCTGCAGCTAATGTGCACACTAGCTTGACTAGCGGCGGGGTATGGAAATTATAAAAAAGGGGGTTAAAAAATAAGTAAGCATGTATTTCTAAAGGTCAAATATAGCATCTCTATAAGTATATAAAGCTATCTACAGCTTTATGCAGTTGCAAAAAATTTTTGGTAAGACCACATAAATAATTTGGTATGCTCATAGTGTAAAGGACCCTTTTCCATAATAGTGGCTTTTCCACATTTTTTTTAAACCAGGGTTTATTTGGTCATATTTTATTTGAAAAAAAATATATATATATATTCCAAATGTAGCATAATATCAATATACAGAGTGTTAATGAACTTATATGAAATATTTTTGCCACAAGGCCGTTATATTAAAATAAGGTAAATACAATCAACATTGCAAGGAGTCGCCTTTTGAGAACTGCTGATTTTCATAGAAAATGTTCGATGTATCTACCATTTAATAATTATCCATTTAATTATCATAATAAATGCGCCATTTTCAAAAGAAATCCTGGAAATACGGCTATTAAATGTACTATCGAAAAACAGCACAGCAATCACTACAACAATGTATTACAAACTGACCTTCGGTTTCACAAAAAACCTACAAACTCGTAAAAAGTGTTACATAATTTTTTGTAAGTGCTCGCCCCTATAAAATACATGTATTTCAGCAGTTCCAAATCAGTTTTAAACACATTTTTAATTAGCTCTTTTCTCTATGACCTTAAACTTGCGATACAAGTTTGTGACATCAGTTAACTCA